ACGGAGGAGAGAGAGAGAGAGAGAGAGAGAGAGAGAGAGAGAGAGAGAGAGAGAGAGAGAGAGAGAGAGAGAGAGAGAGAGAGAGAGAGAGAGAGAGAGAGAGAAAGAGAGAGAGAGACGAGAAGAATACGGGATAAATTCTGAAGGGACGACAAGGGAGGACGCGCGCAGGCGGAAGGAGTAGAACGATATTTTCATCGCGCGTGAATCCCATTTTACGTGGTAAAAAGTGCACTCGAGCGGGAACGTTATTAACGCCTTCTCGATCGCGTCGCCGTGAAGCGTCAAAGGACAGAGGATTAATCGAATAAATTACACGGATTTCGTGATTTCAGCCCGAAGAATTTCAAAAATATCGGGGGGGGCCGAAGAGCGAAGAAAATTAGTGTCACGCGCAGCGCGCAGGGAAGCGCTCCCTTTCGATCCGGAGTTAAAACGGAGACTCTTTTTATTCCCGGGAATCTCCTCCGGGAAATCATATAACCATATAAAGCTCGCCGGATGGCCTTCATCATTCATCCTTTTCGCGTTTATCCGCGATAATTAAATCGCTCTCGGCTCTCGCGCGAAAGCGAGATTTGTTTGAAAGAGTCGAAGCATCTGAAATAACGTTTCGCGCCGTCGCGATCGAGAAACGGGACAAGTTCTATTACAACGTCGCACTTTTTTGAGGTCGAGGACGCGGCTCCTTGGTCACTCCGCTCGAGCACACTTGCGCGCGCGCGCGTCGTTGATCGCGCCTGATTTTCTTTTATACGACGAGAGAGAAAGAGCCACTTTCTCCTGTCGCCTCGATCGTCCGCAGCTCGAGAACCTAGCTAGCTTCGCCCTGGAAGTCGAGCGACGTCCGCCGATTCCATTGCGGAGGCGACGACGCGTGCACGGCGCGTTTGCCCGTGCACATGCATATGCATGTCCAGGGCGAAACCACCGAGGTGGCTCCGGCGTTCTCTCGATCCAGCGTGCAACAAGCGCGCCCGGTGTATCGATCGGTGCGTTTGCCGCGCGACGACGAGCACATCATGTACGGAGTCCGCGTGCGAGGCGATCGACGACCAGAGGAGATCGTCACGATCGACAGATAATTTTCTGTGTCTTTGTGAAGAAAGAATCAAAATTTCGGTTTAATCTAAGGAACGAAATGAAAATGAAAACAGTCCTTAGGAAATGACAATTAATGTTGTTTTCGAGATAATTAATGTTGATGCTCTCTTGAAAATGCTGCAGATAAAACGAGACTGAAAGTAATATTTTATTTTACACACTTGCTGTGTGAAGGAAAGAGATGTTTTTCGCACAGCGCTCGTACACACAGCATGAGCGTTTGTTCAATTAAGTAATGGCATAGTAAAACATCGTCTGACAGAAGAACCGCGCCAGCTGTTGTCCGCGCGATCCGTCGTAATGACGCTCGTCCAGGATGTTCCGCGCGTTCGAACGACGAGCGGCGAAAAACAGACGAACGAACGAACGATCGTCGCGCCCGTCCCATCCGTCAAAATGCAGACGGTGGTGTAGAACCATCGGCGTGATTGCCCGGTGAACATCGGGTGAACACCGAGGAAAAAAAGTCGATCTCTCGCGCATGCGGACTCCGCCTATCGCGAATTTCACGCGAAATCTGTCTTTCGCGCTTGCTCGCTCGCCCGTCGACGCGTCGACCAGCCAACAGCGACATCGCGACATCGTCAGTACGAGAGTGAATGAATAAATCTTGCCTTTTTTCTCGCCTACGGGTCAATGCACAGGGATTGGGGTTAAAGAGGTCGGTGACGACGCTCCGCGGCGGGACACTCGGCTACGCGGAAATCGTCGCCCTCAAGGTAAACCGGCCTCCTCCTCCTCGGAAGGCGCGACACGCTTCTCGGTGTCGCGATCCGGACGGACGTCCTCCAATTCCCTCAATCGTCTCCCCGCTGTCTCTCACCCATGCCATTTCGTCATTGTCCAACACTACCGTAGTCGTCGTCGCTTCTTCTCTTCTTCTTTTCATCTCCCCGTCCACACACGCTCTGTCTCCACCCTCCTCTCCGCCCACCCCTGTTAGTACCACCTGTATGTCAGTTTTTCTTTTGTTGGGTATCCGCGCGTCGTCGTCGCATACATTCCGGATGCGCGACAGGCCGGATCTCGTCGTCCAATCGTTCTTTAGCTAGTCGTTGCCTCGTGCGGTGCTTTCGGTGTAGCGTTCTCTCGTTGGTTTATACAAAACGAAGCGCGCCGCCGATGCTCGATCATCGAATCGGGGTCTCCTTTCTCTTTGTCGATCATCAATCTCTCGACTCTGACGTAATACGATCTCAAATCGATTTCGCTTCCAGACGTGCATAGGATAAAAACAACCGCGTATAAAAATAATTGACATGGACATGTATATAATATGTGTATCACTGAAAGGATATATGTAAAGATATAAAAGAACGATAAATGAGAGAGATCCCCCTCTGATCGAACGACTGTCGGCGATGCGCTTTTTCACTTTGGTTTTTGGTTGGTAATGGTGTTTACTTTAAGTTACAGTATTTAGGTATATCTCTGGGCATGCCTTGGATTCGGAAGAGCAGTGAAATACGAGAACCCATACCTTCCCCGCCCACCCTTATGAAAAAAGCCGACATGAACCTCCGATACGCTTCCCGCCCGAAAAAGATCACCCCCTGCCCCCCCTTCCCCTGTTTTTGTCTTGTAGCGATTTGGTTTTTTACCCGTAGTGTTGACCTACTTTTAGGATCTTCAGGAGAAAGGGGTTAATATCTCAGCGCAGAACATCATACCACTGAAAGTAAGTGCGCCTGCTCTTCGGGAGCCCCCTATTTCCTCCTCCCTCACCGTCGAATCCTCGACGAGTGGTGCTCAAATTTTGTAATAAAATAATCTCTCGACGATCGAAACTAAAAAGATTTAAATTTTATTTCTCAAATTCAGAATTATACATCATTGTTATTTAATATTTATGTAATTATCATTTTCATTTGCGTTCGTTATCTTCAAAATGTTATCTTTCAATCTTTTAAGCTACGCCGGCACGTTTTAATTAAAAAAAGGGGGGGGGAAGAAACGTACCCGTGGAGTAAGCTAAATATTTTTAAAACTTATCTTTTGTTTATTCGCTTTTCTCGAGGACTTAAACACCTCGAGATTATTCTAAATTTGCTCGTGAAAGTAGAAAATGTGCCGTTGAAATGAGCTGCAAAGAAGTTGCAAAAGTTTGCTCACCTCGGAGGAATCCCGGGGCGATTTAATTCCCCCTTTCTCCGAGGTTGAGAACTTGGTTTCTCGCTCACCGTCGCGACAACCGGAAGTTGCCGGGAGGGTTTATTTATCGGTCGGATAGCCGATACCGAGCGCGCCGTCCGTTCCCTAATCGCAAAGTGGAATTTCATCGCGGTCGACGACAGCCGAGCACTATTCGTCCGGGGGAACGAACGAGGCGCGAACACGGCGGAAGAAAGAAATCTTCGAAACAGTTGTAACTCGGGTGATCGCACAGGTCGCTCATAGCCGAGTCACACCGCCGTGCTCGCGCCGCATCGACGTTCTCGAGAATTGCTAGACCCTTACAACATACCCTTTTACTTTACGGTTCGATACCTCCGTTCTTTTGCCCCATATCTTCCTCTTTCTTTCTTTCTACTGTATTCTCTTTATCGGGGGTCGTGTACACCGTTACCGCGCGCCTCGTATAGCATCTCTCGACAATCGATTGTCCCGATACGCGAAAGGAAAAACCGCTCGAAAAGCCGCGGAGAGAAGCCACCGTCTTGCCGCCTACCTCGCAATATTTCATCTGCATCGGGCGAATGCAAATCCTCTCGTGAAAGGCAGACGCAGCCTCGCAGGCTTAGCTGCGGCGGTGGCTGCCGCCGTCGGTCGTCGAATTCGTATTTCCTCGAAAGATCGAAGACGCGGTCGGTAGTGGAGTGTGTTAGTGGCACGATATCCTATACTCTTTCGGGGTAAGAGATGGGAACCGGTTCCCCCTCGCGCGTTTCGAACATCCGCTCCGGGTTGGTGCTTTGACTCGGCACGACGGCGGCTTCCATGAGCGCCGTTTGGGTTTCAAAGGGGATATATATCGCCTCGTCGCTCGAGATGCATTGCTTTATCAAATTCCGAAGGCGGAAGATTTTTAGAATTACAGTTTCGCAATGTAGAAATTTTCAGAGTCAAATTCACAGTCGAAGAATTTTCAGATATTTAACTTTGCGAAGGAATTTCCGACTGAAATTTCATTCGATGAAAGAGATTCGGATCAAAATTTTGTTGTAAAGATAATTTTTTAATTCAAATTTTACTCGCGACATTACACATGTAAAATATATTTGTAATGTAAAATATATTTGTAATGTAAAATATATTTGTAAATATATTTGTAATAATAAGAAGTATCACTTGTGAATAAAAAAAATTCTGATGAAAGTAGTACTGACAGTAGTAGTAACAAAACTTCCAACTTGGCAGAATGTGTAGAAATATTATCAACGATATTTCTCGAAAAAAAGTTCTTCGCGATGATTGAGTTTTGCATTCGACGTGGCGTATACGCGCGGCAAGGTGTCAATACTTTAAAAAAAAAAAAAAGAATACGCGAGGAGAAAAAAAAACGCTCGAAATTCACGAACACCTCCGCGAAAGGGAATTTCACGCGAGAGGTGCGGATTACGTGGTCGCGTAGCCGCGAAAAAATCCCGGCGGGAACGCGCGCGAGGGGGGAAAAAAAGGGAAGTGGAAAAAAAGCGCGGCCGCGCTACACGTCGGTGCACATAAGGCGCGAGTAAAAAATGCACGACCCCGACGCACCCGTCCCGCATGTCGATGCG